GCGACTAGCCGATCCCGGACCGGGAAGTAGCGGCAGCAGATAAAGGGCCAGAAGTTGCTGGCCGAGCCGAGGATCGCTGAGCGAACACTCCGGCCTTAATGAGAGCGCGGCGCCAGGCAGAAGCAAATGATGAGCCGAAGGGGGTTTCTTGCCGGTTCAGACAAGAACACTCGACTGCCGAGCCAGAAGGGAGGGAGCGAGCCACAGCCGAGCAGGAGTAATAAATGACCGATCCTATAGGGGAGGGATTGAGGGTCGGTTAATTGGCCCTTTCTGGCATTATTGAGCTCACTCTTCTGGAGAAGGTAGGGCTGCGCGCAGGGGACGCGTTGACGAGAGCAGAGGTGAGATGCAGCCGGCTGCCCTGGGCGAGCCAGCAATGGAATAATAAAGGCAGAGATTTGAACCTCGGACTGAGCCTGCTTGGGATCAGAGTCACAGGCGACGCAGAAGGAAACGAGGCCCGAGGAGAGCAGTCATTTGCCTAGGGTCAGACTGGACCCCGGCCCTCGGTCCTCCGTCCCCAGCTGCGTAGCGCTCCCCGCTTAAACCTTTGTCCTTGAAGCGCCACCTGCACCAGCGTTAGGAGGAATGTTGCGTGTAACTGGGCTTTCCTCCGCGGAGGCGTAGTTGACTAACTCCTCCTTGGAACTTGAAAAATGAAAGTGTCCGGAATACACAAATTCCAAGAAAGAAACGCAAAAACCTTGGCAAAGTAACCTCTCAGTGATCAACTGTTAAAAACAAACTGTGCATAGCGAACTCTTTGACCCAGAGCTGGTATTTCGGATAATGTACACCATAGAAATTAAAGTGTAATTCCATGATGATAATTTGTGCAAGGCTAGACATTGCAGCATTGTTGGGGGAGGATCAAATGGGAAATGCCTGGAAGTTTACAATTCGTATATTCTGGAGGATCCTATGCACCTATTAAAATGAAAGCGCTAGATCCATGTCATATTTATCTAGGTTAATGACCATAACTTATGGTTAAACCGAAAGGAAGTTGCAGACAACGCCTTCAGGGAGCTCCAAACCTGTAAAGAAAAGAAATGGTGTCCCTTTGTGTCTGTTTGAGGAATGACACCCAAGACCAAACAATAGGTATCTCAGATTGAATTGTGGAGGTGGGGGGTGCAGAGAGAACTTTCTCTTCCTTGTAAGAAGTTTGTATTCATATCTGAACTTTTTGATCCAATGCATATTTTGCACCTCAGGGCACCCAGTGTCTCCTGGGAACCCATTAGCTTTGTCAGCAAGAAAGAGCCTCAAGGCATCCCAGAACCCACCCACTCTAAGGGAGGCTGGTGCCTAGCAGGGAGGGACTGTTTGTTGAGCAGTTACTACTGGTTTGTGTTGTCTCCCAGAATCCACCCACCCACCTACCCACAAGGTAGCTATTATTATCCTCATTATAAAATGAGAAAACAAGGCCACAGGAGATTAAGTAACTTGTCTGACAGGCAACTGATAGAGCCAGGCTTGCAGTCCAGCTGGACCCTTTCCAGGACTCCACAATGCCTCCTAAACTATGCCTAAAGGTGAAGACTGGTGAGCTGTTGGGGTCAACCAAAACTGGCCCTAGAAGCAGAACATACAGTTATTTGAGACCCAGGGCTAAATTGAACAGTGGGTTTCACTGCTACGAAGGAACCCTCTGGAACTGGCAAGAGAGAGGGCAACTCTGGCCCCTGGGTCAAGTGTGGAGGCTCCAGTCTCCCAGTCCTGGGGAGGTCCAGAAAATGTTGCTCTGGGGAGCACAAACATTGCTCCAGCTAACTATAGTCTTCTCAGGCCTCACCATAACTGTCTAATTCTGTCCAAGCCAGAGCTATCTGCCAGTGCAGATTAAAGACACACTTTGCTTCTCTCACCAGGGCCTGTGCCCTAGGCTAGTGCTGTCTCTGCTGCTAAAGAATTAGAAAGATGTGTTCCAAGTTCAGGGAGGGGAGCCCTCTCTCAGTGAGAGAGGAATTACAAGGTAGAAATTCTCTCTCTGAATCATCTTGGGGTAGTTCCTTCCTCTTCTCAGTGTCATATCTGATGCTTCAGCGACCTAGAGGGCAGAGTGTTGATGAGCAGAGTGCAGGGACCAGAGTGGTAGGAACCCGCTGAGTCTGCATCAGGAAGTGCGCACCAAGAAGCATTCATTCATAAAACAGGAGGAAGCCATTGGGCAGGCGGTTGGGGACAGGCAGAATGGACTTCTGAGGTTTCCTGTCTTCTTGAGTAGGGACCATGGCCTTTTCAGGGCTGCAAGGGGCTGGGCACTCAGGCCACACACTGCTCCAGGAACCTGGAGTTTCTCATTCAACTGTTCAACTACCCATTGTACTAAGTAATGTCCTGACAGTCCTGCAGATCGGGCAATGAAGCATGCAAACTCCCCCACAGCCATGTTCAGGGCCAGCCGGTGGCATAGTGGTTGAAGTAGCTAAATCCCACATAGCCAACTGGTGGTTCAAGTCCCAGACCAGACAACTTGAAAAATACCCTGTGTGCATGTACACGTGCACCCAAAATCCCAAGAAGAAAATGGGGGAGGGATTACAGCATGGCCATCCCCACTCTTCCTCTCTCTCTGCCTCTCTCTCCAGCCAGAATGTGCATCCTATGACAAAAACCTTAAAGAACAAAGAAAGAAAGAAGAAAGGAAGAAAAAGAGAAAGTGGGAGGGAACAATAGCGCTTATGGGGCACACCGTGTGAGGACGATAGACCAACTGAACCCAGGGACTAGGAGGAAGGGCAAGGCGGTGCCGAAGCGGGAGGGGGCTTCTCTTTTCTCCAGGCTTGTGGGCTGCATACCTCCCCTGGCTGAGCACCCTCCTTGAGACACCCACTTCCCTCCTTTCAAAAGTCTGTTCAGCTCCCAAGCACACAACCAGACAGGGTAAGTGCCCCCAGACCTGCTCCTGCCCCTCCAAGGCTCACCTCTTTCACAACTCATTGTAACTCTGTTTACTTGTCTAACTGGGCCTCATATCGCTGCCTCCGCACACCCAGCTGGTGCTTGGCTCTTAGAATTTTCTAGTGAACTGCATGGATGAATGAAGCCCAATTAGAGCAAATGAGGATACAGCCATCTCAGGCCTTTCTTCACTGCCTGCCCACATCCGGCCCTCCCTGCCTTCCAGCCTAGCTCTCCTCTGAGGCCTTCTCCAGATACACTGGTAGGAAGAAGCTGTGGCTAAATAAAAACGATCCTCCGCCCCACCATGCACCAGGCATCCTGACTGTTTCCGCTGCTGGCTGTCCACTGGGCCTCACTGGTGAATAGATCTCACTTACAATCCTCCGGGCCTTAGCTTCCTTGTCTGTAAAATGGGGATAGTCATAGCACCTACATAGAGCCACGAGGAGTCAGTGTTAACATCTACCAAGTGCTACAACAGTGTGGGGCTGACCTGGTGGCTAAATGAGCCGGATCCCATGTGGTCGACTCACAGTTCATAATCCCAGCCCAAGTGGTGTGAAAAAACACAGCGAGTATGAGCATGTATGTGTGTGCCCCAAATCCCAATAGGTTGGAGAAATGGAGAAAGGATTGCAACATGACCACACTCCGCCAGGGGGTAGGAGTGCTTTCTCGCTCTGTGTCTGTCTCTGATGAGTGCACATGCTCTCTGGCAATTTTTTTTTTTTTTGAGAGGTTTTTGTTACAGGGTGCGTGCGCTCGCCAGAAAGAGAGAGACAGAGAGACAGAAAGTGAGAAATCACCCCAGGGGGGTGGGGAAGGGGATGGGGCCACGCCATAATCCCTTCTCCTCCATTCTCCTCTCGGGATCTTGGGCACGCATGCACACACACCCGGCGTGAGTTTAAGCCACCAGGTCTGGGACTCAAACTGTGATTGACTACATGGGACTCCAACTGTTGTCTTCTTTGGCAAATTTTTTTAAAAAGGTTAATAAAAAGCAGTGTGTAGACCAGCAGGTGGCATGGTGATTAAGACACTGGACACTCCCACGTAGCCAACCACAGTTCAAGTTCTGGACTTAGTGGCTTGCTTTCTCACTTTCCCTGTTTCTGTCTGTGTGTGTGTCTCTCTCGTCAAGTTTATTTTTAAAAAATGAATGAATAAAATTAAAATAAATCTCAAAAAAATAGTGTCTGCCGTATGGTAACTGATATAGGCATGATGATAATATTCTGTGATTAATTCTGACCACTCAGTGGGGTTTCTTTGTTTTTCTTTTTCTTTTCCTTTTTTCTTTTTGAGAGAAATTTTTGCTATAGGGCATGTTTGCTTGCTGGAGAGATAGAAAGCAAGAAATCACCCCCTAGGTGGATGGCCACACTGCAATCCCTTCTCCCCTATTCTCTTGGAATTTCGGGCATGCATGCACCCACACCTGGTGTGAGTTTCAAGCCACCAGGTCCAGACTTGAACTGCAGTCGACCATGTAGGAGCCCAGTGCCTTAACTGCAGTGCTACCTGCTGGCCCCCAGTCTATGTTTCTGAGCAAGTAATTCTCGGTGTCCTACAAGTAATTCTCACCTGACAATTGTCCTACAGTTAATGCCCA